AGGTACAAAATGTTCCCTTTCAGCTCCCCGAAAGTAGTTCTGCCAACACACTGTGAGCAGTACTGACCCCTCCACAGGAGCCAGAGTTGAGCACTTGGCCCAGCTCATGCCACAAACCATTTACTAAATACAATTTACTAAGACTTAATGTAGGTATTGATAGGTCAGCTTTTTAAGATCACCTAAGGGCTTCAATTAAAATGCCTCTGCCCTTTTACTATTAAGGCTGACATTTGAGGTTGCCTTTTGCTGGACAATCTTTATCAAGTTAGGAAAGGGTCCTGTGCTTTCTTAACTTCTGAAGCAGACACGTAGTAACTTTGTCATAAAAAATAAAAACAGAACTGAAAAGATACATACAGGAAAACTTTTCAATACAGCACCTGGAAAAGTGCAGCGTGGTTCTGCTCTTGGCTGCCAAAGCCTGCAGCTAACTTATTGGAGAAGTATCTGCCCAGTGTGGCTGGAAACCTGTCTGCTGTTGGGATCTTCCCTTTCACTAATGTGTCATGTTTGGATTTCCTCCTAGAGTTCATGTTGACCCATACTTGAATGGCGACTGCTTCCTGGTAACAGAGGAAAATCCTAAATTGCAGAGAATGCCCAGCTTTGCCCCAACCGATGTTCAATTTTTAAATTCCAGACAATCTCAGTCTCTCCCTCACCCCCTCACCCTCCCCACCTTTGTTTATTGCTTCCTGATACTCTCGCACTTGTGTACAATCTGTTCTTGCATGTATTCATGCAATGCCAAAGAATCATGATGTGACTTTTCCCCACTTCTAGATAAAGGCCTTCGGACATGTTCAATAAAATGCCTCTACTCATGCAATGTCAAAACACCTTCTTCCCTCTGTTTTGGTAAATAAGAGTATTTTTCAGGTCAAGTTCTACCTCGAATGCTCTCCTCAGAGTCCTTTTCTCTGTCTCCTCTTCTCTTGTTTCTCCAGCATTAGGAGCTGGAGCTGAGAGCTCACATTTGCAACAGACAGGCTGGCGTTGGGTGTGAACCAGGCAGCCACAAGAAAAGCAGGATTGCTGCTGCTGTGGTTTCCCAGGCTCTACCTGACAGTGTCCTGACCTGCCTCCCCCTTGGCTAGGCTCCCAGGTGCCATGCTTGGCCCTGGTGCCAGTGGGGACCAGAGACAGTATTGTAGAATGAGCAAAGTAGACTTCCTGGTTTGGTGAGAGCTCAGTGTTCTGGATGCAAATAGGAACCATAAGTTTATTAGTTGCAGGACATGCAATAAGTGAATAAACCCCAAGAAGTCAGTGGAACCCTATGCAAAATGGTGACAAGACCTTGTTGTATTAAGTGAGATATTATGCAAAATTTCTAAGGATCTCAGGAATGGATGCTTCCTAGCCAGACTTAGTGGCACATGTCAGTAATCCCAGCTACTCGGGAGGTTGAGGATGGAGGATTGCAAGTTTGAAGCCAGCCTGAGCAATGTACCGAAGACCTGTCTCAATGTCTCAATGTAGCGAGACCCTGTCTCAAAATAGAATAAAACGAGTTGCAGATATAGCTCAGTTGTAGAGCACTTGCCTAGCATGCACCAGACCCTGGGTTTCATCCCTAGTACTGGAAAAGAGAAATAAATGAATACTTCCTAAAAGGGGCTGATTGAACTGATTGGCTATAAGATATTTCCCATCTACCGTGAAAAGTGTAGAGCAAACAAAAAATCAGTCTGTCTAATAACTAAATAATCAACCATCAATGAACAGGGAAAAAGTAAAACCTAGACTCAGCTAAAGGAAAAAAAATAGATGAGATAGCACATATTTACCTCTTCAGATGAGCGCCCCCACTTTCTAAATCAACCCAGAAGGCCTTTTATTTGCTAATGGATCAACTCCAAAGCACGTGCCCTGGGAAATCACGATATGCCTAATCATTTTACCAATAATCCCTGAAAAATTGGTCATTACTGGAAGTGACCAACCATTTGGTTGTAACAGCCTGAAGCAAGATTATTAACAACAAATGTGAAGACGATTATTTTAGCAAATTGCCACCGACTGGTAAATTCAGAACACAAAGGCCTCATGTCTGGCTGAAGTCCCTGGGAAATCCTCTTACGGCCACAGTAAATGCAGCTGCTTAGGATGTAAAAGCTGTTTAGGTCCATTTTCTCTCTGTTTAGGACAGAAAGAGAATAGTCACAGACAGAGATGGTGGGACTGTAGGTGGGATGAGGTAGAGGATGCTAGGGAAAAGTCTGTGTTTCCTGTTTGCTGAGCCAAAGAGAAGTCCACAAGATTACAAGACTCGATGTGAACACAGAAATGTAATCTACCATCAGTAAAATTCTTATACCTGTGAATTAGCTCCATATTTTTTGTCTGCAAGAGATAGGAGGCTTAGCCCAAACCAATTTAAACAATAATAGAACAGTTGGGCTCATCTCGGTGGAACATCCTGAGACAGGGCTAGCTTCAGGCCTGGCTTGACCAAGGGTGTCATTGGTGGTGCCTGGACTTCATCAGTAGGGGTCCACAGTGGGGCAAGAGGGCTGAGAGTTGCTGCACTCCAGGAGACCCAGCGAAGGCCCCACTCTCTCTAATCTGGGTTCCATCTTCAGCACCAAACCAATCACAGTGCCTGGGGGGCGGGGTGCAATGATGTAAAGGAACAAGCTGCAGCCACAGGGCAGAGACATCCTGGAGGAGGTGAATGGAGAGAGCGGAGAAATGGGCTCCTCAGGAAGAGTTTCTGAGTGTGCTAACCCAAAGAGGGGGCTGGAAGGAGGGCAGGAGCCTTCCCCCCACCTCAAAACAGAAATGCCCATCAAGGTGTCAGGAGTTAACCCCTATTAATCATTATGAGGCAAGAGCCTGAGTTCTTGAGGTCAGACCAACGTGAGATGAGGCCGAGCGAGGGCATGAAATGGCATGCACCTCACAACCCTCCACCCCGGAAGGCAGGGAGGCATGCTTTTGTTTGCAAGAGGAACAAGGCTCACACCCAACCGATTTAAACAAAGATGGGCCCATTTCAATGGAAAGTCCTGAGAGGGGGCCTTCAGGTCCAGTCCCACTGGCCAGGGCACGCTGGCTAGGAAGAGCTCTGTGACAGAGACCCTGGCAGTTGCTCTTCATGTCTCCATCAGTGAAAAGAAAGAAGGGAAAAGTGACCTGTCCAGGGAGCACTTCCACAGCACTGCAGCCCAGGGCTCCCGAGAGGTTCAACGCTGGGCTCTCGCCTCCCGCTGATGCCTCACTGGGACTTTTTAAACTTGAGCGCTCCCAGGGTGCCACGCCACAGCCTTCCTTGTTCCCTTTTGCAAGCTCCCTGCAGGCAGGGCTGAGGCCGGGGACAGGGGTAAAGGTCCAGCGCACGCACATCCCCAACACGCTCTCAGGATGCTCGTGGCTAACTGTCTGGACACAGGCTCAAACTCATCCTCCGAGAGGCTTCTGGGTGGGGCCCCTCCACCAATCAATCACAGAAGAGCCCTGGAGCAAACTCTGCCGGTCATTTCTAACCTAGCGGGTTCACCATCCCACTCTCGTCCCGTCCCAATGAAATCCTTTGTGTGCTACGGCCACAGCATGGCGCCCAGTGAAGCCTGTGGCTCAGAGTCAACCACAGCCACCATCTACTATCAGAGGCGGACCAGGGGACCAGGGCTTCAGTGCAAGTTGTGCCTGGAGGTCAATCCTGGGAAACAGGTAGGAAGAGTGGGGAGGGAGGAGGAAAGAAATAGAGTGAACCAAAAAAACTCCAGGTCAAGAGAGGGGCACGGCAGGTACGAGGAGCTGACCCTCTGGGGACCCTGGGACCTCGTGTAGAGCAGGCAAGGACTCTCAACACTAAGGATCAGGGGCTTTCCTCCAGCCCTGGCCCAGGGTGATGGTCAGAAACAGGCAGAGTGGGCTTGGCTGTGCAGAAGAAGCTCCTGGGCAGAGAGACACAGGAGCGGGCCAAGGGAGATCAGCCTGGGGACGTTCAGTGCACTGGGGGGGTGTGGGCAGGGCCCCGGGGACAGCTGCTGTCCACCACCTCTCACTGGGCTTACGAAGCTGGGGACATCCTCTATTTTTCTAGCTTCCTATTCTCCTCTCTCAGGGAGGAGGTCAGCACCCGTATGGGTTGTTCTGCGGCTCAGCAGAATGGTGTTGGCTGAGCCCGCTCCTGGGGGGGGGGCGGGCAGGAGAGCTGTTCCCCAGTGTCTCGTACTTTGGCAAACTCAAAGGCCAAACTGGGTCTAATAGGACTTCTAGCAGGGCGGCGAACACCTTCTCCAACCTGGGAGGGAACGTCCACTTACAGCCAACGACACAGCAGACCCCTGACCTCAGACACAAAAGCAGAGAGAGGAGCCCCTCCCGGCCACAGCCTGCACCGGGGCTTCGCGATTTAATCGGATTTCGTCTCCATTCTGTTTAGCGAAGGCTGGCGGGAAACGAGGGGATGGTGAAAATGTCCACCCAACTGTAAGGAGAAAGGCCCTGGGAAGTGGAGTGGGGGGGCCATGTGGCGGGAAGCCAGGGACAGCCACTTCCCACCTTCACGGTCACCTCTTCACCTCACCAGGCTCCCAGCACCTGTGTCAATCCAGACGGTGGCAGCGGCCCAGGCCCACACGCCTGTGGAACTCTGCCTGAGCTCCTTCCCTGCCTGGTCCGTGGTGGGAAGCACTGACAGGGTCACCAACGCCGTGGACTCCAAGAGCCAGGAAGGGTGCTGATGGCTGTGGGTTCAGGTTGCAAGGGACATTTCTGGGAGAACACGGAGTTGGGCTGGGGACTTGAAACTCCCCAGGATTCAGACCCACGGTGGGGGGGGGAGGGCGGTGAGTTTAGGGCCAGAGGTGGGGAGGGCTGGGGGTCTGTCCAGAGGGCCGCTCCAAGGCAGGAGGAGAGGGGCAAAGGAAAGCAGTGGGCCAGGAGGACACGGCAGGACACGGGTGGACAGTCAAGTCCCCCATAGGCACAGGGGAGCTGCCAAAGTCATCAAGGATCTGGAACACGTGGGGTTTCAGGGAGATTACCTTGGCCAAGGTGTGACGGGTCACTTGCGTGCAGAGCAGAGAACCCCACCGGGAGGCAGAAGGTGTTCTGCTGGGCTTTGACTAACCCCCAGCATGGTCAGCCTGTGTTGGGGACATTCCCTGGGCCTGGCAGGATTCTGTGTTCTTTTCATGTAACTCATTTAATCCTTAAAATGGCCTCACTAGATAAACACTCTTATCTCAGTTTTTTTTTTTTTTCCAGATGGGAAAACTAAGGCAGTGAGAGGTCAAGTCCCTTGCTCAAGGTCACACCATCATCACATGACAGGCCAGGATTCAAGAAGGCAGGCAGTCCATCCCCAGAGCATATACTGTCGCCACAACACTGAAACACATAGCCCTGGATTCGAACCCAGCACTTGAACGTACCAGCCTTAAAAGTTTGGGAGATTCGCCTCTGAATCTTGGGGTCCTTATCCATCCACTGGGGAGAATGTGGATGGTAGAACCTTCTCGGGCCTCAGGCCTGTGGTATGTAAATGCCAGTGAAGCACCTTGCATGCTCAAAATGCCCTTCTGTTTCAATGTAATTGAAGTGCATCCCTGTTCCATTTAATGACAATGTATCATTGAGAAAGCAGAGGCCTTGGGTCCCCCAGCTGGAGAGGGTGGGGAGGAGGATGCCACGGGGGCAGAGCAGCCTTGCCCCCTGAATGCAACCTGCCCCCCCCCCACCCTCTTCCCTTCATCCAGTTCATTTAAGGTCTCCACCCTGTGGAAGCGCCGCGGATCCGGGATCCATGGCAGGGAACTCAGCAGCATTTGTTCTCCAGCCCAAGAATAAACAGAGAACGCAGCGCTCCCGTCCTCAGAAGTGCATTTACAGTACTCGAAACAGATGAATTCTCTCTGTTTGCATTAATCGCATGACTATTTGGTCCAATTATTCTTACCACTTCAGCAATCATGGTGTGCTTGTTCAAGAAGAAAGAAATAACAACAGCTTATCTTGTCGAGAGCAAAGAACAAACAGTGAAAAATCAGGGTCCGCTCCTAAATGCGACACTTGCTGTCATTGTGCTAAAGAGATGATTCATGTTCTCATAGCAACTCGCGAAAGAGAAAAGAGAGAGGGGGTTCTGAAAGGGATTCAGTTGCAATGGTTAAAAAACCTTTTCAAAATCAGTCCAAATGGAGATAAAACTCTATTTTTATCACCGACTCAACTCTGCCTGCCCCCACCCCAATCTTATCTTCTCATAGTGACTGATTTGCATAGGTTTAAATAATTCTTTCAAGTAACACATTTCACTCCAATAGGGTGATGGACAAAGCCTTCAATGCTGTCCCATCACCTCTCCCTCCAGAGCCTGGGGACTGCTAATGTTTTCAGGGAACACTCAGCAGAAGAGCCACCAGGCAGCTTTGGGCAGGGAGCAGAGGCAGTGGAAGGTCCCCCTTTTGGTCATGTCAGGCCATCGGTGGTGCCTGAGCCTGGGACAGCTCTCTCTCATCCTCGTCTGACCTTTCCCACAATCAGATCTGGCAACCCACAAGAACCTAAGGGAAATTGCGATGTTTTTCATAGATCTGGTCTTGGACCAACATGAAGGCCATTTCCTGACCTGCTCCTGAAACCCCAGCTCTTGACTTCCTGCATCACCTCTTGGTGAGTCCCTGGATGGGACAACGTCCTTTGCTCAGACACTGAGACTTGGTCCTCTCCTTAGCAGTATCTCCTCTGGCCACCTTCAAGTGACTTAAATCTTGATCCAGCCAGTTGCCAAGAGCATACTGCGGCCCCAGCCAATGAGGGGTGCCTGCGTGTCACAAACGGGGATCTTAAGTGGGGGCTTGAGTCCCCTTAGCCTTCCATATCTGATGGGACCGTGACCACAGAGCCATGGCTGAACGACCCACATCCACACGGGAAGGCCCCTCACTCTCCACCCACCGGTCGTCTGGCCATGGGTTATAGAACAGCCTGGTTTTATTTGTTAGCAATAATTAAGTGAGAAATTTGGTCCCTCCATGTGTTTGAACCCAGAAGGAACAAGAGGAAGCCAGGAGACAGTTGGCAAGCTGTGGGAACCAACTCTAGAAGAATCACTGAGCATCTGTAAAGAGTTATTTTATCATTAGCAACTGAGACTCTCTTGCAGGTTCTGAGGCTTAACAAAGAGCTGTTTTATGGTAATGTGGCAGTTTACACATGCAAGGGGTCACTGCTGCACAAAAGACCCGCTCGCTTGGCAAAGTAACAAGCATTTATTTATTGATGCACCCAAAACTAGAGTTCCCTGCTACAGGCATGAGATGAATAAGTGAGCCTCTTCCCATCTTGATGCACAGTTTTAAAGAAGAGACAAAGAAAAAACCCAAATTATAATAAAGTAACAAAATCAGCATAGACATAAATGCAGAGTGCAGCTATAACATAGGCAGTTTAAGTGCAGTATTCAACAAGAATTGACACCCGAGGAGGACATCCCTGAGAAGATGATGTCTAAGAAAGGTTTTGAAGGATGAATAGGAGTTTGCCAAATGAGCAAAGACATTGGAAGTATTTCCCAGGTAGAGAAAACCAACTGACAAGGGCTAGTACCCGACACACAGACACAGGACAAACCGCATGTCAGGCTTGGAGTTGTTTTTTTTGTTTTATTTGTAATTCAGCATTGCTAAATTATACAACGTTGGGGAAATTAGGGAAGGATTCTCAAAGATGTTTCAGACCTCGCTTTATTTTGTAGAGGATCTGGAACCACCGAAATGGATGCAGAAGGCGTGCAAGAAGGAGAGTCTTAAAATTCACAGGTGTAGACCTGGTGGAGCAGTGAGACCACTCATCAGGACGCGTTTGCCGAATTACTGTTACGTGGTCACCAAGATTTTGCTAAACATTCGGATATACAAATAAAGCCCAAAAAATGAAGTCCATTTCTCAAAGAAAAATACAGGATCTAACGTCATCATCGACGGCGATGCTTACTCAAGAGCTGCTGAGGTCCAGAGTGTGTTCCATGAGCTCCACAGGAGCTGTCCCACCGAGCCCCGCTCCCTGACAGCTGGAATCAGCAGCACCCACGTCTATCGGCAGGACACTGAGGCAGGTGAGTGAAGGAAACGCCCAGGATCCTGTAGCTAGTCAGAAGCTGGGGAAATGCTGGAACTGAACCTGGGATGATGAATGAGTTTGGAATGGATGCTGATCCCACATGGACCCTGACTCTCCCAAGAAAGAATTGAAACCAATTGATTTTCAAGCTCATTCCACTTCTGCCCTGAGCCCCTTCTTCCCAGGACTCTGTGCTGTGCTGGTGGCTCCCGCTGGGTCACACATACACACTGCCCCTTGGGAGTGGCCTTTTATCTGACTTTCTATGCTTCGTCCAAGACGAAGTCTCCAGGCCTTCCTGACCCCGCTCCGTACCTCCCCTCTGCTTTCCATGTTCTCCAGACTCACCGCACCATCAGCCCTGTGTGATCGCCACAGCCCGCGGAGCCAGCCTGAGCCCTCCCGCTACCCTAGAAGAGCTCCTATCACCCCAGGGATCACCCCTGAGCTTAGTCCCTGCAAAAAGTTACATGGTGACAGAGTCTCATAATAGAAAATCATGAAAACTGAGAAATAAATGTCACCCCTTCACCCTCACTTTAACACATTTCAACAGTTAATCTCCATTTCTCTTTCATAACATTTATAGTAGAATAAAACATCTACGCCTGATAAAAGTTGAAAAATCCAAATGAGTCTTTTCCTCTCCTTCTCTTTCCTCCTTCCCGCCCCTCCTTTCTATGTATATGAAAACCTGGTCACATACACACAGGGCTCAGCTGTGACAGACACAGAGGCTGCTACACAGCCCTTTCTCCCTTCCTATTGTTAATAGGACCCGGATATTTTTAAACACTAACGTGCAGATCACAGGAGATGAATCAGGACTCACCCAAGCCAAAAACGTAACTCCACTCCCCTTTGTCGGAGCTGGCTTACTCTTGCAACCCAAGGTAGCCATGGGCTCTGATTCTTGCCAGCGGAATGTAACAAAGTTTGCTGGGGAATTTTGGGAAGGTTTGGATCTTCCTGATGAGAAAAGGTCTTTCTCACCCTTTCTTACCCTGTTTTCTGCCTTTGAATGCAGGGAGGGGTGCTATTCAAGATGGCAGCCATCTTGTGACTACGAGGCAGATATTCGAAAAAGAAAAGCAAACAGCATGTAGGTAGCACAGCAAAGATTTAGGAAAAAAATGGGGAGTTCTTGGTGACATCATGGGTCACTGAACCAGCCTACCTCCAATCTTCTCATGTGTAATTGAATATATTCTAATGTTACAGTAGTCTCCCTTTATTTTCTCTATTTTCACTCTTCCTTCTATAAAGTCTGAACTCTCTTCAAGATTATTCAGGGATATTCACATTTGGACTCTGATTTCTAGCCTTATCTCCGTGTGCCAACTGAATACAACCAACCCCAAGCCATGGACTGTCTACATGATCCTCCTCATCTACCTCAGCTCATTTAATACTACCCAGATGCAAGGTCTCCCCTCAAGCTTTCCTTGGCTTCTCCACCCAAATATAAAGTCAGGTTTCCCACTCGTTTTTAACTTTCTTTGAAGCATCGAGTAGTTTCCTATTGACAGAAAACGTGAACACAGCACAGAGTTTTCCTGAGCTCCAGACCCAGCTTCCCTCTGCTGTCACCTTATGCTGACGCAGTGCATTTGTTAGGACAGCGCAGGGCCATGGTGAGCTATTAGACGAGGCCAGTGCTCCACTCGGCCTTCCTTGGTTTTTCCTCTTTGCAGATCCAGGGTCCCACGTGACATCAGCCTCATGGCTCCCGGGGCCTCTCTGGCTGTGGCGGCTCCTTAGAGTTTCTTTCTTCTGGTGAACCTGCCTGCTCTGCAGCGGGCCGAGGAGGTGCCTTACGGAATGTCCCAGGCTGGGGTCTGTCTGAGGCTTTCCTCAAGGCTGGGCTGGGTTAGGGGTTTGGAAGAGGAGGACCCAGGGACAGTTCCATTCTCCTCACATGATGCCAAAGGTATCAGTACCACTGGGGGTGCCGACCTTGTGGGCTGGCCGTGGTGAGCTCCTCCCGTCCCTTCACGGTGACATCACCTTCCCCTCTTCCCACGGAGC